GTTTGGCCATCCCATCACCAGAGTAGGTCAGTCCCGGCTGTCTCTCGGCCATTGCCAGCAGTCTTTTGTGGGGGTATCTTTGTGGATTTCTGTGGGTCTCTTTAGCACTTTGTTTCTTCCTTTTCTCATGTGGTCTTCATTTACCATGGTCTCCAATTCCTTGTTCTCCCTCTCTGTTCTTGATGCAGGTGGGATCTCCCGCTCTTTTTCCCTTGACCCTCACCCTTCATTGTTCCCACTCATGTTCAGGTTGTTTATGTAGATCTCATCCATTTCTCCATCATTGGGTGATCCTCGTGTCTTTCTTGGGGTCCTGTTTTCCAGGTAGCCTCACTGGTGATGTGAGTAGCAGTCCGGTCATCCTTGTTCCACATCTAGTATCCTCCTATGAGTGAGTACATACCATATTTGTCTTTCTGAGTTTGGGTTACCTCACTCAGGATGATTTTTTCTAGATCCATCCATTTGCCCACAAACCTCATGATGTCATTGTTTTTCTCTGCTGAGTAGTGTTCCATTGTGTATATGTGCCACAATCTATTTATTCATTCTTCAGCTGAAGGGCATCTAGGTTGTTTCCAAGTTTTGGCTATTACAAACAATGCTGATATGAACATAGCTGAGCAAGTGCTCTTGTGGTATGATTGAGCATTTCTTGGGTATATGCCCAGGAGTGGTATAGCTGGATCTTGGGGGAGATTGATTTTCAGTTTTCTAAGAAAGCACCATATTGATTTCCAAAGTGGTTGTACAAGCTTGTGTTCCCACCAGCAGTGGATGAGTGTTCCCCTAGTTCCACATCCTCTCCAGCATAAAGTGTCTTCAGTGTTTTTGTTCTTAGCCATTCTGACAGGCGTAAGGTAGGAGAATGGACTTTACTTTGTTAGCTGGTACTAGTTGCTGCTCTCTTCAGAACCTTGCCATGCTGTCAGTGGCACTGATAGTTTTATAAAAACTCTCACATGATGAATAGTTAGTCTCAGGGACTCTCCCAAACCTACCACCTTTCCTCTGGGTCCCTAACATTTAACACACACACACACACACACACACACACACACACACACACACACACACACAAATAATTTTGTTTTAAATTTTTTAGGATTTTTTTTTTAAGAGAAAAAGAGCATGAAGGTTGGTGGTGGGTAAGATCTTGAAGGGATGGGATAGGGAAAGCATATGCTCAAAATTCATTGTCTAGAATTCTCAAAGAATAAATAAAGGCATTTTAAATGTTTAAAAATGATTTATAAAGGGGAAAGAAGGAAGAAAAGAGAGAGCGCGAGAGAGAGGGAGGGAGGGAGGAAGTTCTGTGGCATAATCAGAAGATTGCCAGCACTGGGAAAGCTTGTTTACAAACCAGGAGTCCGCTGGGATGTAAATCACAATTCCCAGAGCCACACAAAGGCTTAGGAGAAACTAATTTCTGAAAGAACAGCCACTCGTAGCCAATCCCCACTTTTTCTTCCAATGTAATACTTTTATTGATTATCTGGGAATTTCACATAACACACCATAATCACACTCACTCCTCAGTTCTCCCAGGTCCACCCCTCCACCCTTGTAATATTCACCCTGTTATAAATTTGCAGGAGTAGGGAACCCCCAGCTGGCCAGAATATCCCACTGTTGAGGAAAAATATGCTGGACAGATGCAGCTGGGGCAACGTGGGGGTGGGGGAATGGGGAGGTGGGTAGTGCTTGGAAAGTCATTTGCACCAAGGCTCTGCATCCACATGGAGAGTTTATAACAGAGAGATGAAGAGAAAGGTAGGAAAGAGGGAGACAAGGAAGAAAGAGAAAGGAGAGAGAGCAGAGGTATGCATGCCTCATGGGAATGGAGAGAGAGAGAGAGCAGAAGAGAGAGAGGAAGGGGAGAAAACAAGGGCTTTACATCAGGATGCAGGGTGGGCCCAAGCGGCAGGATTTCAAGAGGTGGGTCAGAATATTAACACCTCACACACCCACACACACACAAAAAAAAACCAATTCCAATTTGTGTTGCCTGTATACTCATGGGAGCATGGTCAAACTCCCAGGATCAACCTCTTAAAAAAAAAAAAAGTAAGTCCTTCCCCACACCTAGATCTTCAATGGTGGGGAGCTACAATTCAGCATCCTTATCACAATTATTAAGAGTTTTCTTCTATGGTTTACTTTTGGGAGGTGGGTGGGTAAGGGTGGAGTTTGTCACAGAAGCTTTCTATGTCTCTCTCTCAACTGTGAGTCTGCTGTCATCAGTCATTGATACCACTGCAAAAGAAGATTCCTTGCACTTTACTGTCAGCAGGAGCATGGATCATGAACATCCACATGGTTCTGATGACAGTATGGACCACAGACATCCACAGAGCCTCCAGGGTCAGCATATGCCAGGGACCTCAGCATGGTCTCCTGTGGTAATACAGGCATCAACAACAACCCTCTGTCACATCATGGACCACAAACACCATCACAGCCCTCAGCAGCTGCACAAGCAATGGGCATCAGCATGGCCTCTGGGGCAACACGTGTACCAATATGATGGCAGACAGAGCCAAGGACATCAACATGGCCTTCTGCAGGAGGACAAACTACGGTTGTCTGTATGGCCTTCACTAGTAACATGGGCAGTAGATCTCAACATGGCCTCAGGTGGCAGCACAGGCCACTCACATCTACATGGTTTCCTGTGGCAGGTCGACAGATCCAAACATTTAGCCAGCCCTTTTAAACCACGTTTGGTGTGAGTTCTTGGAACACAGTACCTGGCACCTAGGGGTGGGGGACACAGTGCCAGGCTAGAGGT